GACCTTAGACTTCCCTTCCAGCTCTTACTGTAATGCTTTCCCCACCCCACTCTCTGTCTTCTGTGTAGCTCTAATACTGGGAAGTCCAAGATCAGGGGCTGTCCTTGGAGCACACTGTGAGTCATGGAAGGAAGAAGAATTTGTCCCTGGGTTCCCTAAGTCACGAGAGGGAGAGGTACTTCTTAGAACAGATTACCAACTCTATCAGCAGAAGATAGTCTTCTGAAAACACAGCTTGTCCCTGAAGCTCCCACTTCCGGCACCATTCTTTAAAAGAGCTGGGAGGCACCTGCTGGTGATTAGAGACCCCAGGAAAAAAAATGAATGAGAGGGGTCAAGCTGGAGATACGCAGTCCTCATAAAACATTAACAATGAACAACTTGGCAACAAGCCAGGCAGAACTCTTGAGCAGTAGTTCTGTTGTTTTAAGCTGATTTCCCCCTTCTTGGTTAATCTAGGAAATCAACAACAAAGGCAATTAATGACATTCCATTGTCCAACACTCCCACATAATCACTACTGAATTGGAACAGATTTATGGGGAGTTGTAGGGGTGTGTGTGTGTGTTTATGTTATGCTATAAAAACTGGGGACACTGCACTTTGGGGGCAGAGTCTGGAAGGGATGGCCCTCAGCAATGCAAGGGCAGAAGAGGGAAGATGGGAGCTTTTTTCTTGCCAGGTCACCGCAGTGAATGGGGACATTTCATTTACTCCTTGCCAATTCAACAACCATTTACTACATGTGAGACGCCATGTTCAACCCCGGCGGGAGGGAGGCGAAGATGAGCAACAATGCACTGGGCTCATAGGATCATAGATTTCAAGCTGGAAGGAACTTTAGGGGTCAGCCACTGCCTCAACAGGCAGTTTTGTTCCCACACGGATTGGGGATGCTAAGCATCGAGGAATCACCATCCATTGAGAGGCAGTTCAGAAGTCTTGCTTGGACCCTTGCAATGGGGCTGCTCACCAGCCCTTTTACATTTCACCTTGACTGAGTTCAGCCCTATCAGTGCCAAGTGGCTCCTGCTTTCCTGTGGGTTTTCCCTCTGTGGGTGACTCTATACCTCTAGCCGTCAGTCTGATGCTGCTGCCTCTGCCTCTGTTACAACTGCTTAGGTAACCATACCCCACTGCTTATAGACCTGGGAAGTGGGAAGATGCCAGGTACCTTTTAAGATCTCACAAAGCCTTGTGCCAAAGGAAAGGAGGCACAAGCAGGAGGCGGCCTCATCCCAGGCACTGGCTTGTCTGGGGGGCCGTGGACTCACAGGGCAGCCTAGTAGAGGGAAGGGTGTACCCCTACTGGCTCTTGGAATTTAAAGAGTTGTCCTTATGCCTCAAGGTCCGAAAGAAGGAAAAACCTGAGAGGCAGGGATTGCATGTTTAACCCACAGAAAGAGCAAGCAGTTAAATGAATGAACATGGCTGATATAAGGAGGGCCTCCTTCCCATGCATCCCCATTTATAGCAATTGTCGATATTTATTGCGAACATTTTCTTTCCCTTGACAGAATGTAGGCTCTCTGAGATCAGAGACAGTCCCAATTTGGTCTTTGTATCTCCAGTGCTTAGCACAAAGCCTGGTACATGACTGGTACTTAGTAAGTGCTGGTGATTGAGAGACACAGAGAGAGAGAGGGACAGAGACAGAGACACAGAGATAGAGAGACAGAGAGACAGAGACAGAGACTGACAGAAGCAGACAGACAGACAGACAGAGAGAAAGAGAGAGTTAGAACTTTTAGCTATGGAGAGAGTGGCAACTGAACTAGGTCTTTGATGGTAAAGAAGGATTTCCACAGAAGAAGGTGAGTGAATGACTTTATCAAGTGCTTACTATGTGCCAAACACTGTGTTAAGTACTGGGGATATAAATTGTCAAAGGAAACTAGTCTGTGTTTTCACAGACAGCACATAAAGAGAGCTTAGCTGTAGAGTGGATGGAAAGGTAGAGAAATCTCAAGTGTTACCCAGCCAGGTAGATGGTGGAGGCCCAGGGCTTCTTGCTGCTGTAACGACCTGAAGTGGAAATTCAGCTCTCACCATGTGACTCCTCAGGACCCAACTCCAGAGGCTTCCAGTTGCCTCCAGGATACAATTCAGACATCTCTCTTCAGCCCCAGCCTAGCTTTATAGTCTCCTCCTTCCCCCGCCCCCAATTCTTCCATCCAGCCAGACTGGCCTCTCTCCACACTGTTACAGTGGCCGTCCCCCATGCCTGTAATGCACTCCCTCCTTATCTTTGCCCCACAGACTTCTTCACTTATTTTAATCTACAGTTCTGGTACCATCTTCTACATGACACTTTTTCCATTTCCCCTAACTTCTGGCGCTCTCCCTCCCAAACCACTTTTTATTTGTCCTCTTTGTATATATTTATATTTAATCCCTTTCTGTCAATACTGCAAATACTTACATGTGTGTTTGTATCCTCCATTAGAATGAAATTTCCCCAAGAGCAGGGATTGTTTCATTCTGGATATTCATATTCCCATTGCTTGGCACATAATAGGCTCTTAATAAACATTTGTCAGTGGATTGGTAGGTCACATGACAGTACTGGTGGGATTCCAGACATGGAGATGGGGAAGAGGATAAGGTCTAGAGGATCCTAGGAGGCAGCAGTAGTCAGTCAACAAGCATTTATTAAGCACCTACTGTGTACCAGGCACTGTGTTACATGCTAGGGATACAAAAAAGCAAAACAAATAACCAAAACAAAAAAACAAACAAAAAAAACCCAAACAACCCCATTCTCCAGGAGCTCAGGAGACAATATGTAAATAAATATCTAGGAACATACAAGACATATACAGAATATATGAAGACAAAGCCTGTTGGTCTCCGTCTCATCAGAAGGAATAGAGTCAATGACTCATCTTATCCAAGCCTTGTGAGCAGTCAAATAGAAGATGAGGAGGGAGGGTCTCAAGGCCCAGAGGATGGCTCTCACCAATGCATGAAGTTGGCATCGGATCAGTGAGGGCCCTGCCAGATTCCAGCTGAGGCAGGGTTCCCCGGAGCACCCTGCCCCCTTCCTCCCTGGCCACCACTCAGAAACCTGGAGGACTGGGATGCCACAGGTAGAAAGGCCCTTAGCGATCATCTTTTTCTCTCCGCTCAGTTGACAGATGTGGAAACTGAGATCTAGAGAGAGAAGACGCTTGGCCTAGGCCACACAGCTGACTGACTGTAGCAGGATAAGAAAGCACTATTTGACTTTCCACAAGGAAGTGGCAGCTGGTGGGGCAGTGGATGGATCACTGGACCAAGAATTAAATTTCAAATGAGTTCAAATCTGGCCTTGCACACTTACTAGCAGCATGATGCTGGATGTATGACTTGTCTACTATTTGCCTCAGTTTCTTCAACTGTAAAACTGGGATCATAATAGTACCTACCTCCCAGGGTTGTTGCGAAGATCAAATATTTATGAATAATGTGTATTATTAAAGAGATAACATTTATACAATGTATAATATTATTAAAGAGATAGTATTTGTAAATAAAATGTTTAGCACAGTGCCTGGAACATAGCAGGCACTTAAAAATGCCTATTCCATTTCATCATACAAGTGCCTTCCTCTGTCTGGGTTTTACTTTCCTTATGTGGAAAGCAAGGGAGTTTGATTTGAACTGGATTGGACATTGAGCCAAAGAATGTAGAGAAGAGGAGGATGAGGAAGGGGAAGGTCTGGCATTGAAGCTATGATAAAGATATTTCATTTGAAGAAGAGAGGACTTGGGGGGACATGAAAGCTACTTTCAAGCATTTGAAGGGTTACGTCATGGAAGGAATAAACATCTTCTGTTTGGCCCCAGAGGGCAGAGCCAGGACCATTGAAGGGATGTTGCAAAGAAATGGATTTCACCTTGTTATCAGGGAACACTTTTCAGCAATGACAGCTGTCCCATAGTAGCATGGGCTGGCTTAGAAGGTAGTGAGTTCCCTGTCACTGGAGGTCTTCAGGCATATGCTTCCCATGCTACAGATTCCAGTATCAGACAAAAAATTTGACTAGATGACCCAAGGCAGCTTCTAGCTCTGGCAGGTGATAATTTAGTGAAGGCATATTTAGTTATTACATCTTGGCTAAGAAGAAGGTTGTTGCAGTGTTGATATTTTTGGGAGGGGGATAGAGAAGAAATGACTTGAAATCTTAGGGGCTCTATAATCAAACATCCCAGTCCCACAGATGTGGGTGATTCCTCTTGAGTGATTCCTGGCAACAGCTAGGCTTCAGGAATGAGAGCCATCTTCTCAACAAGTATTTATGAAGGACCTACCACATGCCAAGCACTGTGCTAATGCTAAGGACAAAACAACAAAATGAAATCGTTTCTGCCCTCAGGACACTTACCTTCTGTGGGGCTGTACAACTTGTATACCCCAACTTGTTCTAAGTATAAGGACAAAAATGTGACTTGGATAAATGATTTCATTGGCCTAAAGAACTCCTGGATGAGGAAACTCTTTGCCAATACAAGTCAGTGCCTGCTCTGCAAATTATAATAGAAGAGAGTTGGCTAGAATTCTGAGAAGATAAGTGATTTACCCAGGGTCACACAATCAGGATGTCAGAGGCAGGACTCAAACCCAGGTCTTCCTTGCTGCTATACAACACTGTCTCTCATATACAAAATAGAGATAAAATAAATATGAGGTGATTACTTGGGGTGTCAGGGGAGGCACTGTGGGTCACCAAGAAAGTCCTCAGGTGGGAGGATATACCCAAACTTTCTCAACTCAATTGGAGGCAGTGTGAGCAGAGAGTAAGGATTGGAGAGATGGTGTGGAGTGGGAGTCAGCAAAGCTTGACAACAGACTGGGGGACAATGGAGAAGGAAGATCCCAGGGGAATTCTGAGGTGATGAGCCTGGGAAAATGGTGGGTCCATCAACCTAAATGGGGAAGTTTGGTGTTGGGATGATGCTAAAGTACCATGAGTTCTATCATGTACCCATTGACTGTAATGGCCCTTTCTCTTTTTCAGGCTGATATTTTCTCAGGAGCCATTTTCATTAAGTTGGCCTTGGGGCTCGACCTGTACCTGGCCATCATTATCCTTCTGGCCATCACAGGCCTTTATACCATCACAGGTGAGATAAAGGGAGGAGGAGGAGTAACCTTGGAATCTGCTGTGTGTGGCCAGCTCTGGGCCAGGCCCTCTGAAGAGACATATAGAAGTGGGAATGGGAGAGCATTTTCTGTTCTCAAGGAGTGAGGGCTGGTTGGAAAGACAAAGTTTACATCCATAAAATTATTAGGGCCTGATATAAGACAAGGCCTCAGTTGAATGTCCACAAGGTACCCAGGGGCCACGTGCACTATGGGCAGGTAGGGAGGAGGTAACTGGCCTGGGGCAGCTGGCATGAGATATCAAGCCTGGATGGGACCAGCTGTGGCCCAGGAGATGAGAGGTATCAGCCAAGTTCACCTAGTGTCAGAAGCAGAATTAAAACCTGGTTCTTCTGACTCCAGCTCCATACACAAATGCCAGGTAGCAATTAGCAAACATCACAGATAACGTTTATATAGCACTTCAAGATTTCCAGAGAATTTTGCAATCCTTAACTTATTTTATCTTCACAACAACCTTGGGATGATTAATTATTAATCAGTGTTAATAATAATCATATTAATCACATTAACATCTGAAATATGGAGCTGTTGAAATGTTTGCAGCATGCTTGACATGTGGAATCTCTGTTGAGCATCACAGGAACTTCACGTGGGAGGTATTACAGATAGGGAAACTGAGGCTCAGGGAAATGAACTGGTTTGCTCAAGCTCACACAGCTAGCTAGCAAGGATCCCATGTGAGTTTAAAGTCCAAGCCCAGTGCTCTCTCCATGGTACCAGTCCTGGCTCTGTCACTTTCTTTGTTTGTAAATAACCCTAACTCTGGGGCTGGGCAACTCTGAATCCCAGAACCCTTGTCAGTGGGCCAGTCAACAAACATTTATTGAGGGTTTACTAGAGCTGGCAGCCAAGGATTCAAAGAAAGGCAAAAGCAGTGCTTGCCCTCAAGGAGCTCACAATCTAAGGGGAGGGACAACACACAAATAAAGAAGGGAATACATGATTTAGCCAGTGTAAATGGGAGGGGAAGGCATGAGCAGTTAGGGGGACCAGGGAAGGCCTGCAGAAGGTGGGATTTGAGCTGAGTCTTGAAGGAAGCCAGGAGGTAGAGGGGAGGAGGGGGGGCATTTCAAGCAGGGGACATAGCCAGTGCAAAGGTACAAAGATGGGAGGTGAAGTGTTTTGTTTGAGGAATGTTGTAAACCAATGTAGCTGGATCACTAAGAGTTTGGAGGGAGTGAAGTGTGAGAAGAATGGAAAGGTAGGAAGGGGCCAGGTTGTGAAGAGGTTTCAATGTCAAGCAGAGGATTTTATATTTGATCCATGAGGCAACAGGGCATCTGGATTTTGTTGAGTAGGAAGGATGACATGGTCAGACTTTTTTTAGGAAAATCACTTTAGTGGCTGAATGAAGGATGGGCTAGAGTGGGGTGAGACTTGAGGCAGGCAGACCCAGCTGCAGCTACTGAAGTAGTTTAGGCATGGGATGGTAAGCGTCTGCACCAGGGTGGAGGCAGTGTCAAAGGAGATGGGGATAAATTGGGAGAGGTTGTAAATATAGAAATGACAAGATTTAACGACAGATTGGAAATGGGAGAAGAATGAGGGTGAGGAGTGAGGATGATGAGCACTGGTGACTAGGAGAATGGAGGTGTCCTTGACAATGATGGGGAACCTTGGATTTGGAGGAAAGAGAATGAGTTCAGTTTGGGACATGTTGAGTTTGAGATGATTATGGGACACCCAGTTTGAGATACGTAATAGACAGTTGGTGACATGGAGCTCAGGAGAGAGATTAGAACTGGATTTGTAATTCTGGGAAGCATTTGTATAGAGCTATCAGTGAACCCATGGGCACTGATGATAAAGGGAGATTATATAGAAGGAGAAGATGATTGCCCAGAGCAGAATCTTGGGGACCCCCACAGTTGGTGGGAATGACCTGGATGAAGATCCAGCAAAGGAGATGGAGAAGGAGCAGTCTCCCAGGTGGAAGGGACCCCAGTGCCCACTGAGTCCAATTCAGACTTGAATTTGATCTCCTCTATGACATCTAACCTTTGCTTAAGGAACTTCTGTTGGGAGGAAGGGAAGGGAGATTTGCTAAATTCTAAGGCAAAATATTTAGCATTTAGTCATATCCTGAGTTTCCTCATCTTGTAAAATGAGCTGGAGAAAAAAATGGCAAACCACTCCAGTATCCTTGCCTTGAAAACCCCAAATAGGGTCATGAAGGGTTGGACATGACTGAAATGGTTAAACAACAGCAACAACTACTACTCCTATTACTTGTACTACCACCACCATCCAACCTTTGCTTAAAAAATTACTATTGGGGGGAGGGGAAGGGAGATTCACTAAATTCTAAGGCAACCCGTTCAACATTTAGTCATACCCCAAGTTTACTTATCTGGAAAATGAGAAGATTGAGTGGAAAGAGTGCTAGATTTGGAGTCAGAGGAACTGAGCCTAAATCCTGACTTTGACTCTTACTAGTTGTGTGACCCTTAGCAAGTCACTTAACCTTTCTGGGCCTCAGTTTCCTCATTTGTCAAATGTGGGGTTGGGCCAGATGGCCTTTAAGGTCCCTTTTGGCACAAGAATGTGATCCTATATGAGACCTTTGATCCCATGGAACTACAATGGTCCATGATTATCAGCCTAATCATGTCACTCTGCTGACACATGAGCTCCCTCTTGTGACCAAGTAGTTAACACAGGCTTTCCCCCACAGTGTATTTGGCAGGGTGCCTGTAGGCCAGTATCGTGGGTGGTGGGGTGAAGGAGAGCTGAGGAAGTGTCCTCTAGAATAGATCCAATTCCCTTGTTCTCTCCTCCCAGTGTTCTTGGAGCCTTTTCTGGGGGACGAGTGGGGCTCTTCCCCTACACAAGCAGAAGCTGAGGGATGTAGCTGAGAGTTTTGTAGAAGGAGAGTGAAGTGGATTAAAGATTTAGAAGTCATCTAGTCCAACCCCCATATTTTATAGAGGAGGAAACTGAGGGTGATGGGAATGGACTCACCCAGGTAATGTCAGAGGTGAGATGAGAAACTGAGGCATTGAGAGGATAAATGAATTACCCCAGGTCACTAGGTAGCACATGGCATAATTAGAATTTGAACCCAGGTCCTCTGACTCCAGTCAAGGCTGTGTCCTTTGTGCCGTGTTGCTTCCAGGTTTTCCCATCAGTGTTTGGTCTGGTACATTGTTTCTTAGCTCTGTTTGGAGTTTTATGTAGAGCAGCTTGGTTCTATTGCTTTCAGCTCTTCCACCATCTTGGCTTTGCCTCCATTCCCGTTGTCTCCAATAACTATAATATATTTTGGGAGAGAGGTCTGGACCTGTGATTTAAATGGTGTGGGGGCCTCCCAATATAGATGGAAACTTCCTTCACCAAAGCAGATGCAGGTCAGACTGGTCTGTACCTCACACCTTTAAAAGTTGCTTTGAGCACTGAGAGATTAAGTGATTTGCCGACAGTTACCCAGCTCATGAAAGTAATAATAACTAACATTTATATTGCACTTGCTACGTTCCTGACACTGTGTTAAGTACTTTGCAATTGTTATCTCATTTTATCCTCACCACAACCCTGGGAGGGAGGTGCTATTATTATTCACATTTTACATTTGGGGAAACTAAGCAAATAGTGGTTTAAGTGATTTGTCCAGGATCACACAACTAGTAAGTGTCTGAGGCTGGATTTGAACTCAGGTCTTCCTGACTCCATACTGCCACCACCTAACTGTCCAGTGTAGACTACAGCTGCCTCTCTGTCTGTTATGCCACCATAATGATGACTCTGAATTATATGGCCCTTTAAGGCTGGCCAAGTGTTTTTTTTTTATTATCTCATGTGTTAAATGCCTATAACAACAGCACTTCCCCAAAGTCGTTGTATTGTAAAGTGCTTAGTACGCAGTGCCTGGCACATAGTAAATCATCATCATTACCATCACCATCATCATCACCATTACCATTACTATCATCATCATTAC